CGGCTCCGGGGCGGCAGCGGCGGCGGCGGCGGCGGCGGCGGAGGCGGCAGCGCGCCGCTCGCTCACACCCACCCCCGCCCGCGGTCGCCGCGCCGCCCCGCTGTAGCCGCCGGCCGCCGGCGTCCCCGCGAGCCGGTCCAGCGAAGGCGGCGCCCGCGCCTCTGCAGCCAGTGGCAGCCGCAAGCCCGGGAAGGCGGCTCCCGCAGCCCCCCGCAGCCCCGCGCCCGGGGCGCCTGCGACCACAGAGGCCGCCCGGGGGAGGAAGAGGAGGAGGAGGAGGTGACAAACTCTCCGGCTCCGCGCCGCGGCTGGCAGCCCGCGGTCAGGCATGCAGGCGCGGCGTCTAGCCAAGCGCTCCAGCCTGGGCAGCCGCCGGGGGGGCGCCGCGTTGCAGGCGCCCGGACCCGCGCCTGCCAGGGAAGGCACCTTGCCCGGCCTCCCACCGCTCGGCCCGGGCCCGGCCGCGGCCCCAGCCCCAGCCCCGGCCCCGGCCCCGGCCCCGGCCCCGGCCCCGGCTCCGGCCCCGGCTCCGGCCCCGGCCCCGGAGAGCTGGAGGCCGCCGCTGCCGCCGCAGCGCAGCTCCGGGACCGGCCCCCCTCGGGCCGCCGGGGCCGCCGCCGCCTCGTCGCCTGTGCTGCTGCTTCTGGGGGAGGAAGACGAGGACGAGGAAGGCGGGAGCAGGCGGCGGAGGGGGCTCGGGCGGGTGGAGGAGAAGCCCCGAGGGGGCGCGGAGGAGGAGGATGACGACGAGGAAGACGAGGACGAGGAGGTGGTCGTCGAGGTGGTGGACGGCGACGACGACGAGGAGGACAGCGAGGAGCGCTTCATGCCCCTCGGCCCCGGCCGTGCGGTCCCCAAGGGCCCGGCCCGGGGCGCGTTGAAGGTGCGTGCTGGGCACGGCGGCGGGCGCGGGACCCGCCAGCCCGGGGAGAGAGACGGGCCCGGGCCCCCGGGCGAGGCGCGGGCTGAGGCCGGGGACTGGCGACCGGTGGAGGCCGGGCCGGGAGGGGTGTGTCAGGCGGCGCCGGCGGCGGAGCGAGGGAACTGATGAGCTCACACCTCGGGCCCCCAGCACCTTTCCGAGGCGGTCGCTGCCCCATCCCTCAAAGGCCGGGTCGGGTTTGTTGTCTCGTGTGGGTGCAGGGAAAGGACACTTCTCCCTGGCGTGGTGGGGAACTTGAAGATGGGACGAGGTAGGCGCAGGTTTGCGCCCTGTGGGGACGCGCGAGGTAAGAGGGGGTGAGGTTTTATTCTTCGCAGAGGAAGCAGGAGTGTCCTCCCTATTTTTGAGGGCTAGTCAAGCTTATTGAAACTAGCAAGCAGCTTCTCTTGTCAACCTTTCAATCCCTTCTTCATCCAAGAACAATTGTTGATGAGTTTCCATCACAGATGTTTGTAAGGCAACCTCTAAACCCAAAGCGAAAAACCAAGCCCTTGGTTTCTAAATGCATTTTGCTGGCAGCTTTTGGGAATGCCCCCCCCCCAACTCCCCTCTTTAAACTCGACATTGTTTAGCATTTGGATTTTTTCCCCCTCCTCAGAATTGCAGATGGGGGGGGGAGGAAATCGGGAAAAGTGGAGGTTATTTGGCATTTAAAATGGATGTGAGTTTCTGCTGAGAATTCTAGTGAAGTCTCTTGTGCACTGAAGCACTGGGAGATCTTTCCGTTTGTGTATATTCAGGAGATAAGGGGTTTATTATTACACAACTGACTGGCTGGGCTTTCAAGCATGCGATTGGACAAAGCAAACCACGTTGAGGTTCATGCACAGTGTATGTTGCTAAGAAGTTTTGAGGGCAGCAAGTGGTAGGCGATGAAGTTAGTGCTTTTTCTCGAGAGCGGTTCTTAAAATCAACTGAGTAACTATTTACTGGAATTTTCAGAGGATAGTGGTATATCAGGAAGAAAAAAAATACATAAACAAGTGAGCTTAATAGAGATTATTTATCTCCTGGGGCTTGGGGAAAAGGAAAAAACTCCTCAAAGCATGAAATTGCAATTCCAAAGAAATGCTAAACATCAGCATTAGAATATCCCCAGAATAGACATAGGCACAAATTTCTTTCCTAGACCACCCTGGAAGTACCAGCTCTAGGAGTGAGAAATTTTCAGCAAGTAGTCATTGGGGATGATATTTTTTGACAGTTGTGTGTTGGAATCTAAACCGAGAGCACTCTCATTACCATGGTCTGCTAAAAAGCCTGCATTGTATGGCTATAAGATATAACTGCGTTTAGAATTAAGTCACATGGCATCAGTGATACTGAGTAAGGAGAGCAGTGATTCCTTAGTGTTTTTTTTTCCAGCAATACTGAAAATATGTCTTGTGGCTTATAATTTGTGACAGAAAAATCATAATTTATGCTGTGTGATCAAAGTAAACCTAATGTAGGAAAAAAAATTAAACCTATAGAAACAGGATAACAGGGTGTGGTAATTCACATTATCAAAAAAGATTATTCCCATCTCCAAACAGATTTCTGTTAACTTTTTAAAAAAATGGGCTTCATTTTGTAACATTTCTTGGGCCCACAGCTTTTTAGTAATGTATGTATTGAATAGTTTGAGGTATAATTCTTTTCACTTTTTACTGCTTAAGTGACATCTTGACACTGGATCTGAAGAGATTTTCTAATGGAATATAGCAGATCATTTTATTCTAATGCATATAAAATGTCAACAACTTCTGAATATGCTTATGCTTTCATTTATTCAAATATTTATTGAGCATCTCCTGGGTGCCAGGTGCTATTCTAGAACATAGCAGTGGGCACCTTCCAGATGCTCAAGCTTAGTAAGAGGAGTCATAGCAATAATCAAACAAACAAATAAGTGTGGTGCTTGAGATTGTGATGCATGCTATGAGGGAAGTAATGGTATCACAGAGTCTAGGAGGAAAAAGAGAAGGCTATTATGGGGTAGACCTCCCTTAGGAGGGGACATTTGATCTGAGACCTGAGACATGTGGCTTGGGAAGATCTGTCCGTTGGAGGGAATAACAATTGCCAAAGTCCTGAGGTGGGAGGGATAAAAAGATGAGGATGGCTAGAACTTGGGAGGTACGAGATCTGTCAACGAGGCAGGTAGGAGCCAGCAACCTAGGGCTTCGTGGGCTTTTTGAAGTAGAATATGAAGTCTTTGGAAAGTCTTAGGCTGTAAAGGCATACCAGGTGGTTTGTATTTTCAAAAAAAAAAAAATTGCTGTTGTATGGATTGTAGAAGACAGCAAGGAGAATCAGGGAGACCGTTAGGCGGTTGTTGCTGTAGTCCTGGTGGGAGAGGAGAGCAGTTTAGACTAGGCTGACAGGAATGGAGTTAGAAAAGAGGAGACAAATTCAGGATCTGTTTTGAAGATTGACGTGTAAGGACTTGCCGATGGATTAGGGGAGGATGGTAAAGGAGTGAGAAGCCCCACTCTAAATGTTTTTTGAATGTGCCATTTGCTGAGATTGGGAAACCTGGGGACACAACAGATTTTTGTGAAGGAAAAATCAAGTGTTCTTCTTGGACGTGTTAACTCTGAGATGACAATTAGACATGTAAATGGGAATGTAATTAAGCAGCTGGCTGTAGGTTGGGGAGCTGAGGGGAGAGGTCAGGGCTAGAGAGAAAAATCTGGGAGTCAGCAGCATGTTGATAATCATTTAAAGCTGGGGACTAGGAAGGGAGTGCAGTAGGTCAAGAGAGAAGAGCCTTGAGACAGACTTGGGCACAGCCTTGTTCAAGTTTGGGTGTAGGAGGCGAAGCCAGCCAAGCTGGGCTTGAAGCAATAGCCAGTCAAGTCAAAGGAAACTAGAGAATGAAAGTCCTGTAAGCCAAGGGAGGAAATCATTCTAAAGGTGGAGAGTGGTGAGCTGTGTTAAATACTACTGGGTTGTTGAATAAGATAAGCAGAGAGACGTATCCACTTAGATGAAATAATGTGGAACGTACCGGTGTTCTTGACAAAAGAATGTGAAGACAGTGATGTGAATCCAGCGGGCAGAGCAGTGAATGGGAGGTGAGGACATAGTGAGACATATGAAAAACTATTTTAACAAGTTTTGTTGGAAAAGAGCAGAGAGAAGGGGGAATACCTAGAGGGCATATAGTCTAGATTTTTTTTTTTTTAAAGATAGGATACAGTAGACTCTAGGTACTATAGCATTATGGGAATTTTCTGGTGCGTCTGGCAGATGCCTTCATTTTCTATGCCTGTGTACCAAATTACCACAGACTTTTTGGCTTGCAATAGTTCTCACAGTATCTGTGGGTTAGGAGTCGAGGCTCCACTTAACTGGTCTGTTGCTGAGTCTCACGTGGTAGCAATCAAGGTGTTAAGCCGGCTGTTTTTTCATCAGAAGGCCTAACTGGGGAAGAACCCACCTACAAGTGTACTAAGGTTGTGAGCAGAATTCATTCCCCTGCATCTAGGTCTGAGGGTCCCAGCTTCTTGCTGGCTTTTGCCTGCAGGCTGCCCTCAGCTCCTAAATGCACTTTCCCCCACCTCTGCTCCCCTGTTACTTGAGCTTCCACAACATGACCTCTTATCATCAAGCCAGCAAGTGGAATCTTAGCACCTGTCTTAGCAAGTTAAAGTCTCATATAATTAATTCCCTGTAATCGCAGGAACAATACTCCATCATTTTTGCTATATTCTATTCTTAGGAGTGGGTTATAAGTTCCACTTAATGGAAGATTTTCAGGAGATATATATATTTATACACACACACACACACACACACACACACACACACCTTGGAGGAGGGTGAGGAAAGTTCTTGGGAAAGTCACAGTGGAGGAGATCTGTAACCCAAGTACAGGGGTTGGCCTTTGACAGAAGCAAGGAAACTTTCTTCCATTGAATTAAAGAGAAGGTGGAGAAGACAGGCTCAGATGTGGGCAGTTGTATATTGGATGACAGTCAGGTGAAGTAGTATTTGTCTATGGCTTCTGTTTTCCCCATGCAGCAAAGGGATGGTGGTGGGGCATCAGCTGAGAGTAGAGGAGAGTTGAAGTAGGAGTTGAAGGCATGGCACAGTGCTGTGGGAGAGTAGGAGAGCAAACATAATGAGAAAGCAAATAGAGTTTCCAGATAGTATCAAGGGCCCATCTGATGTCAATGGTTTTCCATTTATGGTGCAAGCAGCCTGTCTAGGTATGTGATTTTTTCCAGATTCATTCCACTGACTCACGCATGGAGCAATAATAATAAATAATGTTTATTGAGTGCCTACTATGGTCAGTACAAGTCTAAGTGTATAGTGTCATTCCAACCTTATTATATATTCAGGAGTCAGGCATTATTACTATCATCCGCATTTTATGGAAGTGATAAGCAACTTAAAGATATACAGGTATTGGGTGGCAGAGCAGGTGTTTGAACCCTGGAAAGCTGAATTCCAGCGCTACCACTCGTATGCCTTATACTATACTGTTTCTTTGCAGACAACATAGACAGCAGGATTCAGCAGGGATAGGGTTTTGCCAGGTGGGTGAGCAATGGAAAGAAAGAGAAGAACATATTGTTGAGGAAGTTGGCACAGCTGTGACTCTAATGATGGGCTATGGGATTTAAGAGAAGTAAGGACGGGGTGGGGTGGGGAGGGATAGTGAAAAGGCCATAGATCAATGGATTGGAGAAAACAAAGAGTTAACCAATAAAGTCAATAAAAGAATGGGAATAAAATGCAGGACAGTTTGGATTCCAAAATATCATTACTATGAATTCAAATGCATATTTGCCAAATATTTATGAATATTTGGCAAGAACTATGGTAAATGCTTTGTGTGAAAGAGGATCTCATTAGAAACGATGACTTGGTAATCACTATGGCCCCATTCTCCACAACTCAGGACACTGACTCAGAAATGAAATACCACACCTGACATAGTGTAGCCA